CACTATCAAGTACCCAAAGAACCTCATTGCTGTCAACATTAATCATACTTCCATTATGAACAACAGCCAAATCAATTGAAGTAGCAACACTGACACGATCACCATTTTCATCATTGACATTCTTTTCTTGCTTGCCTTTATTGCATTTGTTATCCTTTTTCCACTTGTAACAGTACTGTTTGATATGCCCAGATTTACCACAATAATGACATTCAAGGCCCTTATACCTTGACTTTGATTTACTCCTACTCTTGCTTCTATTGTTGTGATCATGACTTCTATTTTTGCTTCTCCCCCTGTTTTCAGTAACCAAAATATCTGACTGTGATGTGGAAGCACCCTGAGTTCTCCTTCTTACTTCTTCATTCAGAACACCACTCTTCACATACTGCATAGTTACAACACCATCAGAGCCAGAATTTGTCAAGATACCTAAGTTTTTCCAGAGTCAGGAAGTGTATTTCAACAACCCAAAGTCCCAATAATGTTTCCTCATCCAATTGACACCCATATTGGATTAACTGATCAAAGATACCCTGGAATTCATTTACATGGTCAAGTATGAGTCCCTTTTTCTTGTATACTTGCAAGGTGTGTGGGCTTTGCTTTAAGTAAGAACAATTGTTGTTACCCAGTTTTGAGAAGCATACAAAGATTTTCTAGCTTTTCCACAAGTTTTGGCATTTGTATCATTAACAATCATCATTTATATACATATCCTAACCATTGCCTAAAGAAACCACATACTTGCTGATGCTCACACTCCCATTCTTCTCAGACTTAGACTAGGGTTTACTAGTAGCAATTAACAGGGGCAAATGTAGTTTCTTTAAAAACAAAAAGGATCTATTTCATCTTTCCTTTTCCAAGTGTGATATTTGTGCGCATCCAAAACAAATCATTTTACTATATTTACTCCATAATTCAAAAAGCAAACTGCTCAATCAACAAAATAACTGCAGGCTCTGATACCATGCACAAAATAACTTCACAACAAAAACTTCCCCACTTGAATGAATCTATTAGGAGTAACAATGAGCAACAAATTCAAGCAACACAAGCTGTCCCAAATCATGTACAATCATAAACAACATTCACCACACGAACACAAATCTTTTTACGTGGAAAACTCCTCCGGTGTGAAGGATAAAAACCACGGGACCGCTCCTCCGGTCCAAGGAAATAAAGTTAACTATCACAAATATTTTCTTACAAATTATAGCAAGCTAAAACCACCAAAAATGTAGCTATACCACAAACAACCACAAAACAAATGTGTAGCAACACAATGGAGTAATCACAAAACACAGCTGCTGTTCTCAATACATTTAAAAATGTAACACAATGGAGTAATCACAAAACACAGCTGCTGTTCTCAATACATTTAAAAATGTAACACAATGGAGTAATCACAAAACACAGCTGCTGTTCTCAATACATTTAAAAATGTAACACAATGGAGTAATCACAAAACACAGCTAGGATGACTGCCGAAACGCTGAAGAAGATGAATCTATGCAGAATTGGAAGAAGAACAGGACAACTTCGGATTCAGAGCCAAAACTCAATCTCTAAACCTCCAAATCAAAATCCCTACGGTGAGAATCAAGAACAGAGAGCAAAGAACAACATATCCAAAATCACAACGATCCAACGGTTGGAACTCCGGGAATCTCCAGAACACGATGGCTGGTGCTGGATGGGGCTGTGCAGTCCTCTCCTCTTCTTTTCTGTTTTTCTCACTCTGTTTTGAATGTGTGTGTCGATCAAAATAGCAGCCAAAGGTATATCATAAATATGGTTGTTAGTTGAGGGGCAATATTGTAAAATAATAATTAGTTTAGTGGACTTCAAAATATGGGCTTTTACCACATAGGAAGGGAACCCAAGCCCAACAATCTATTTCATAATTACAAAAGAGATTGCCATAATATGTAAATAATATACATCTTTGACTGTATTTCATCCTTGCATTTTTTTGCTTGAAGAAATTTAATTCTTGCTGCATAAGCTCATTGCTCTCTCTAGCCGCTGCCAAGTCTTCCTTTCTTCTCGTACACTTCAACTCAATATCGCCAAACTTCTCTACATCAACTTTTCCTTCTCCTCTATCAGCTTAATTAGTTGTTCCAGCGACTGCCTTTGCCTTAACAACAATTTCATTACTTCCTTATCATAAAGTTGGCTCTGTAGATCAAACCATTGAAAAAATCCATAGTCATTATCCTATAACATGAAATTAACAACAACATCAACAATACAAATCAAGAATTTCAGGAATTCAAAAAACCCATCAACCATATCTTTCCTTCCATATTGGGGATGTAAAGAATCGCCTCCCCAGGTTTCAACTCCATGATATATACAATTTAGCCTTCAAGTTATGCCCACACAATACTTGAGCTTGCAAACTGATTGACATCTTTGAGGTTTCACCCATATTTATTCCTTGAACTGCTACTATTTGTAGAGAATGAGTGCCGATGATTGAAGAAAATGTGAGCATTATCAATGAAAAGGATTCTGAAGTAAGGAACTGGTTTTACCAATAAATGAAATTGAGTGTTCAATGAAGGCAACGTTTATTGATAAAGGGGAAGATAAGGTCCAGTTGCAAAACGATATTGTTTAATATACTTTTATGTTTAGGTTAGTTTTCTTATGTGGTATGTCCATGTGGACGTGATCTGGCAAAAAATCAAGGTCAGTGACAATCGGATCAGCAAATATTAATGGATTCTAGAGGTCACAGTTGATAAGGAAAAATAAATATAAATTATCGATTGATAAATTCCATTCTTATCTTAAACTTCTGTGTTCGGTTTCTCCTATTCAACAGGGCTATTAGAGAAGCAGCTTCGACAGCCCAATCCTCGATTAATTTGATTAATGAAAAATATTGGCCAAATTTGAAAAAAAAAATCATAAATTCAGTTTTTTTTTTTATTAACCCTTAGTAATAATACAACTTTTATTGTTTGGATTGTTGAATCTAAGTGACCTAATTTAAACATTAAATAAATTTATCAAAATTTTATAAATTTTTCAAAATTTTATAAATTTTTGATTAAATATGAAAATTAAACCATTTAATTTCTAAAAGTATCTTTTAGAGCTACACATTTTGTCCTTGAATGAAATAAGAAAATTTGAAATTCCATAAATTTTTTACAAAGCGCAAATTTTACATTTCATCAAATTAAATCAACTTAACTTATAATTTTATTTTTAAATAAAAAAATAGTCATTTTTCTTCTCTATTTTCACTCCTACGTTTTTCATTTTTTTTCCAAACAAAATAGGAAAAGTATATCTTTAAGCCCTTGCCTTGTAAAAATCGCTCAATATATTAAATGGTTCTGACGCATATTGAATTTACTTAATTACCCTTGAGAGCCGTTCAAACCCTTCAATTTAGTTTCGATGAAGTAAAAGCTTGGATTCCTTCGAAGACACCTCATCGTCTAACTAAAGGTCAATTTTAGTTGCAGAGAAGCCAACCAACTAGGAAGAATCACAATAAATAAATTGCAACAAAAACAAAATGGTGAATGACGGTATTATTCAATGCCATTTAAAAAAAAAAAAACATAAAATCAACATAATATGTGATAATATATAAATAATTATATTTTTATAGTTTTTTTATATTTTAATAATAATTATTATTAAAATTTAATTAAGTTATTACTTCCCTTCCAAAATATAAATCGTTTTTATTTAATCATTTTGTCACAAAACATAAGTCATTTTGAGTATTTTAGAAAATAGTAAATGATATTTTTTTCAATATTATCTTATTTACATTAGATAAAATAACTATTTTCACAAATTATTCTTGATTTTGAGATAAAAAATAATTTAATCAAATTATCACTAGTTTTGTTATAATTAATTTATTTCTTTAATCTCATGTAAAAATTTTAAACAACTTATATTTTACAACGAATGGATTATTATTTATCAATTGTGAGTTGTGATTTATCAGTTACAAATTATTAGTCATCAACAAAGCGAATTGCTAATGGGTACTAGATATTACAAACAACTAACGAAATGAAATTTGTGAGAAGGGGAAAAAAGAAATAAAAATGAAACTTTACAAAAATACTAAGATCAGATTTTTTCAATACTTCTAAATAGAAGTTTAAAATCTATAATATTCAATAATTCAGTAATAAATGTCAGTTTTAAAATGTTTAAATTAGTATAATATTTATAAACTCAAAATCATTGCAGAGAGAAATACAATATATTTCATGTATCATTTTTCTTTATTTCATATTTAATTAATTTTTAATAAATTATACAACTCGTATCTCAACTATAACTTTAATAAATAAATATTTACAAAATAATTTTCATTTTATAAATACTGAAGAATTTGGGATTAAATTAATTCAAAATATTAAATCTAATTTTTTTAATAATTTTAAATAATTTCAGAAGTTCAGTTAACGCATCTGTAATAAAGAGCAAGGACTCTTAATTATAACTAAACCTTGAACCGGATTAGGCGGTTCTTAATAATGTGATCTGAATACTAGTAGTTTACACCAAATAACTTCAAAAATTAAAATTCGAGAAAAAGTCAAATTTATTTATTTTAATCCCGACAAACTATTTGAGAGACCAAATTGATTTTTATTTTTTCTTATTAATAATTTTTTATTTGAATAATTTTCATTTTTTTGGCGTCAAATAGAGTTAATTAATTAGTAATTCAATTTTGGTTTTGCTTATATCAACATCATTCCATTTATGATGATATTAATAGCATCGTCTCTCCACCAAAAATTGCAACTACACAGAAAGGGTAATATCGTCCACAAAATCAAATCCATTATTTAAAAACTCAAAATTTTGATACCCAGTCAAAAATCGAATTGCTGTTGCATTATAATTTGCAAGCCATTCAATTGATAAATTTTTATTTTTAAAAAGAAATTCCATACCAGAATTTCCTTTTTCTATCTCCACAAGAGAAAGCTAACGGATATAAAAAAAAAACAAAAAAGAAAATAAAATATACTAGTTTGTGTGTGCTGTCTACTTTATATTGCGTTCTTTCTCCCTCTGAACCTTCCTTGCCTTCCTTCAAAAGAAGAAAACCCTCTCTCTCTCTCTCTCACGCCGTCCGGTGCATTTCTTGAATCTACACAGAAAAAATGGGAGAAGAGAAGAAGGCTCAACCAGCTGGTGTCTGGCCTACCGTTAAGCCCTTTGTTAATGGCGGTGCCTCTGGCATGCTTGCCACCTGTGTAATACAGCCCATCGATATGATTAAGGTATTAGATATATTCCCTGTTTGTAGAGATTATATTGATTTGTATAAATGTTTTATAGATCAGTTCCGTCTTTTGACAGTGTTTATAATTTAAAGTTTGAATCTTTTTAGAGCAGAAATGGGTACTTTTGGTGGGGTTTTTAGATCTGGAATTTGATGGGTTTCTTTGGAAATGGTGTATTTGGTTTTTTTGTTTAAATTGGGTATGCTTGGTTTCTGTTTTGATGGTTTGTTGTTTTTTGGGTTTGGTGTAGGTGAGGATTCAATTGGGCCAGGGTTCAGCTGCCCAGGTGACAAAGACTATGCTTAAGGAGGAAGGTTTTGGTGCCTTTTATAAGGTTGGATTCAACTATGTGAATTTTGAATTTTGTAGCATGGAATGTTTATCTATTTACATTATTAAATTTATAAAAGATCTGCGTTATAAAATGTAATGTTTGTTAATGCTTGACTTGGGTTTGCATATGTTCTGGCTTGAAAGTTTGAGGTTCTCTTGTCAATCATAATCGCTTTAAAATGGGGCAAAAAATTTAGGGCTATTCGATTGCAAATTTAAAATTTGTGTAACCCGAAGATCTAATATCTGAAGATCAGACATTTAAGTATTTGATATTTAGTTGCTTCTCAATCTTTAATGGGAGTTTCTATGGAAGCTACCATTCAGTAGACACAACTGAGCCTGTGAAATTGTGTACTTCCAATTTGAGATATGCACTACATCTATGAATTGTGCCTAATTGACAATATTTTGAGCAGGGGCTATCTGCTGGACTACTAAGGCAAGCCACATATACAACTGCTCGACTTGGATCGTTCAGGTAAGTGGTTAATTTGATGCAATTGGGAAGTGAGCTATGGCATAAGTGTTTGCGCTTTTACGTTTAAAAGTGTGTGCACGTGTACATTTTTACTCTTTTGAATATTGCATTTGCTGCTTCCTCTCAACTTTTTCAACTTTGTTTTACCTTGCGAAATTGTTATGATCTGTCTCCAAATCTAACATATATTCTTCTTGTCCAATTGTTTGTTTTTTCAGGATGCTGACCAACAAAGCAATTGAAGCCAATGATGGGAAGCCCCTTCCTCTATATCAGAAGGCTTTGTGTGGGCTGACTGCTGGTGCTATTGGGGCATGTGTTGGCAGTCCGGCAGATTTAGCGCTTATCCGTATGCAGGCTGATGCTACTTTACCTGCTGCTCAGCGTCGAAATTACACAAATGCCTTCCATGCCCTTTACCGAATTGTGGCAGATGAAGGGGTTTTGGCACTTTGGAAAGGTGCAGGCCCTACTGTTGTGAGAGCAATGGCATTGAACATGGGGATGCTTGCTTCATACGATCAAAGTGTTGAGTTTTTCAGGGATAACCTTGGTTTTGGTGAAGCTGCTACAGTAATAGGTAAGATTCATTGCAAATATGTACTTGTGGATTAATTTCATATGGTCTATTAAAGTATTTGTGGATTCTTTTGAACAAATTACACAATGTCTTTAGTAGAAGAATTTCAATTTTTGTGACTATCATGTTGATCACAGCTTTTTTCCTTATGCTGAATCCTTTTCAAATTCTTGAGGTAGTAAAATTAATAAATGTAATGACACTGAAAGAGTGTGGCAGAGGATTGATTATTAACATGAGACATAAGACTATATAGTTGAAAGTGAAGAAGTGATGAAGCATATTTGTTCAAATAGATAAGCTATCAATTCTGTTTATCTTTGTGATTTAAATCATTTTGTAACTTTTTACATTCCTGATGCCTTTTAGATATGAATACAATAGGCAGCTCTATGGTCTCAAAGTATTTAGTTAAAGTTTTACTTTTTGTAATTGACTTGCGACTCTGTGTGTCTGTGGTGTGATCTGCATGTTCTATGCTGCCATAATGGAATCTAAAGGTCTTAGTTGTGGTATCTTATTAAACGTTCCACTGCAAAATCCTAAAAGTTAAAATTGCACTTTGTCATTATGTTTCTCCTTCTAAGCTCTAGGCTAGACACTTCTTATGTAATGTTAACCAACCTTTTTTCCCTTATCAGGTGCAAGTAGCGTGTCAGGGTTCTTTGCTTCAGCTTGCAGTCTTCCTTTTGACTATGTTAAAACTCAAATTCAGAAAATGCAACCTGATGCCCAGGGAAAGTATCCATACACTGGCTCTTTAGACTGTGCCATGAAGACTCTCAAGGCAGGAGGACCATTCAAATTCTACACAGGATTCCCCGTGTATTGTGTTAGAATTGCTCCCCATGTCATGGTACTATTTCTCGGTCTCTTTCACTATGCCTATGGGTGTTTGTGTTCACACATTTCTTCATGGACACACATACAGGAACATATGTTGCATGTTCCCATTGACCTAAAATCTTTTTATATTATATGGCTAAATTCATCCGAGCATGATAATTTGAGTTTGTCATCACACTCAAAAATTTATAATTTCACACTCAAATTTTTTATTACTTTATGAGTTTGCTCTCACAAAGGTTCAGATGTTCCATCAACTTATAGTTGACGGAAAGACTATGTAGTTGGATGGTTATAAAATACGGAGATGATTAAATTTTTTTTTTTTTTTTAATGGAGTTCTTGATTAGTGTAATATAATTATATACAGAGACTAAATAATAGTTCACCTGTTTTTCCTCTTTGTTTTTTATATGTTCTTATTGTTGGATTGTTTCCCTTTGCAGATGACCTGGATATTCCTGAACCAGATCCAAAAGCTGGAGAAAAACGTGGGATTATAGTTTTCCTCGCAGATGGGGATTTTCAGTTGACTTAAGCTATGGAATAAAAGATACCTGAGCTGTGTTGTAGTTTCTGGCTGGTTTTGGTGTCTCACATCCTTTCCAAGTCCAACCAATCATTTTTAAAATTTTTACAGTGCAATTGAGTTAGGATTTCTGAAGTTTATTGAACTTGGTACATTTAGGACAGTCATAGATCTTTGGACTAAACAAAAACCCTTAAAGAGAGTTTCTCAAAATTAGAAGAGAGTATTAAAACAAAATAAGTTTTTGTACTTGATAAACAAAACAAGTATTCTGCATTCATTTTTGTTGTGCTTTCTATCAAGATTTACAGGTTTAGTGCATTTTATTGCCATTTTTTTAATATATTTGTGGATTGAGAGTAATGCAACCATGGCCATTTTGTTGATGTTTAATAGTAATGGTAATTTACTAATTTTCAAGGAGCTGATCAGTATTTACTAATTTTATACTTTCATAGTAATTTACTAGTTTTCATTTACTTTCATAGTATTTATTGTGGTACATTAAAATATCCATAGAATTGGTGAAGGAAAGTGAGTATTTTTAGTGGATGAATATTTTCTTTTTTTTTTATTTTTTATTTTTGGCAATCTAATCTTCTAAAATTTTATTATTACTTTTTTAATTTTAAAGAAAAATTTTCATAAAGTAAGAAAAATAAAAACCTATCATCTTCAATTCTAAATTTATTATGTAAATATTAATGAATTTAATTATATCTAATAGTTTTTATTTATCAATGTTATATGTATATATATTGTTTGAGAAATGATAGTTGAGTCTCGTTCAACGACCTCTTTCCTATTAGTTGAAATAAATTAATTATTTTTTAAGTCTAAGTACTTTACGGGGAAATACAATTAGTTCGTCTATCTTTCTTAAAATATAATAATTTATTTTTATATTTTGCTTCAGTTACACTATTATGTCTTTTTTAAAATATAATAATTTATTTCTATATTTTACTTCAGTTATATATTAGGTCCTTCTGTCCATTTATTAGAAGAGATATTATAATATTATACTAGAAAAATACAGAGTAGTTCTTATAATTTCAAAAATATAACTAATCCATCTCTGTGTTTTTAAAAAATAAAAAGAAATATTTTCGTCATTTTATAAAGTACTTAACAAAAAAAATGTGAAAATTGGACAAAAGAACTTTATAGTCTAATGGAAGTAAACTATAAGGACATTTTAGTGTATATTTTAAAAGACAGGGACGGACTAATTGTATTTCACAAACTATAGGGATCGTACTGTAATTTTTTCACTCTTTCATATTACATGTTTTAATAGAAAATAGGAAAAATTACAGTACGATTCTTATGGTTTACGAAATACAATTGGACTGTCCGTGTCTTTTTTAAAATAGATTAAAATATCCTTATATTTTACTTTCATCAGATTATAAGGTATTTTTATTCAATTTTTGCATTTTTTTTCATTAATTATCTTATGAAATAACGAAAATCTCCCTTTTCTTTCTAAAAACATAAGAACAGACTAGTTGTATTTTTCAAACTATAGGGACCATACTATAGTTTTTTTGGTATAATATTTTTATATCTCTCCTTTTATCTTTGTATTTTCTTGTTGACTTAACGAAAAAGATGCAGAAAATGAACAGAAGATCTAGTAGTATATCAGAAACAAAACATAAAGACAAATTGGTATATTTTAAAAAAAATATGGACGGACTAATTGTATTTTATAAATCACATGGACCGTACTATAATTTTCTCCTAAAAGAGCTATATCACCTTTTTTTTTAACTCTATTTCAATTAATTGATTACCTATTTTAATAAGAATCCGAGTTACCTTAAAAAGTAATTAATTTGTTTTAACCAATAAAAAAGAGGTTGCTATTTATTGGTTGAACGAGTAACTCATATCTATATCTAAATCTCATTAGAATACAATTCGTTTTTAAATCGAAAATTGAAATCAAATCGGTCAAAATTGGTATTAAATATTGGTCAAGGATTTTTGGTTTTAAACCATAATCAAAATCGTGTATTTAAGGTTTGATTTTAATTTTTCAATTTTTTGAAACTAGAATTAACAATTTTGATTTAAAACCAGCTATTTTGATATGAAATATTGAAAAACATGTTTTTAAAGAAATTTTTATTTTTTTTATTTTATTATAATTTTAAAATAAGTCTCTAAATTATAGTCATACTAACACTTACATCATTCTATTATTAGTTAATAATATGGTATCCCTAAATTATTGACTTGTTAAACATATAAGTCCTTCTATCTAATTTAAGTTAAAATCACCGTTAAAAAAATGAAAATCCCTAAGCTACCCCTCTCTCTTGGATACCCATGAACCAAAGCACTTTGCTTTGCTTTTTGTCTTTATTCTTTGTCTCTCTTCTTTCATCTTCATCTCCAGTTAGTTTAAATTTCTCATAAAAAATACTATCAAAAAAAAAAAAAAATCTCATAAAAAGGAACAAAATTTTAGGGATAAAATATTATAAATATCATAGGAAAAACTAAACTAAATTTAATGTTACTATCACTCGAAAAGTGGACTTTAGACATCGAAAAAAAGACAGCTATAAACAAGATTTGATCAAAGAAGCCATGGGAAATACCTTGCCACTTTATATGATGAGGTGGAGAATGAGCCATGGCTGTTAAGTATGCGAATAGTTTGGGTTATTGACGGTCAAACGTGAATAGTTTGAGTTATATGCAGACGAGTCCAAATGGTCTATCAATCTAATCTCAGATCCTTCACGAACTGTCCGCTTGATTTGGGTACTTTCTTCTTTGTCTATACATTTGATTTGAACTTTTGTTTGTTTTTATGTATAAATTTGTTCATTCTCTTTCTTTCTTAGATTATGGAGAGCTTAGTCATAATATTTCTTTATAGTTGGAGTGGGTTAGGAACTAAACTCTGTTAGTTAATTGCAAGCTGATTTTATTTTATTATGCATCTCCAGAAATTGTATGCTTAAATAACCCACTGAACTTCCACCTAAGACCAACAACTCTTTGACACTACAACTTATTTGAGAAACAATTTGATCTTCTCTGAGAACAAGAGAGTCAAGACCTGCAAAAACATAAAAAAATATGTTATATATGGCAATTTATGAATTGCTCAGTAGGGAGAGAAAATAGTTAAAGCCAAATGATACAGAGTAAAGTAAGGGTAGTATGATGATTTTATTATATTCTCTCCTCCCTGTACATTTTTATTCGAAAGTTAACATTTAAATTGGGTTAAAAATGGATGGAAGGACCCGCTGATCTGAGAGAATAATAATTTAAGGATGTAATAGTTATTAGTCAATAATAAAAGTATGTAAATGTTAATTTGACTATAATTTAGGGTCTTAATAATATTTTACTCTTATTATTATTATTATTATTATTATTATTATTATTATTATTATTATTCAAAATAGAAGGTTTGAGGGGTGTTTTTGTCTTTTAATATAAATTAATGGTAAAGACTTAAAAAATTGACGGCACTCAAGGATGTAGCCATGTATTTTGAAAACAGTAAGGACTGATTAGTATATTTGACTATTATATAAATACGCATTATTTATTTATGTTTTTGTATCGTCTGTCCTTTCAAACTCACCGGAACACTTCATCATTTCTCACCAAAAAAAGGGGAAAAAAACATATCAAAGCTGCACGTTGTTAGTTGAGGCATTTCGTCAAACGGTTTGAAATCCAATCACAAGCAACAGTTTATTCTAGAACTCATATTGTTATAATCTCATCCAAACCATCGCACGTAGCTGCACATACCGCCCTATACAGCCGACCGTCGGTCGATCGGCAACCAGATGTCGATGGTATCACCCTTTCACTCGCTCTGGTCGATAAGTCGCCCATTCCCAGTAACTCTCTTTCTGTACTATCGTCATGTTTAGGCTCAGAGCGCGTTGGGCTTAGTCTTTTTTTTGCTTCAATCATTGGCTTTTTCCACTTCTACTTGTGAATTTTTGATAGATACTTTTCATTTTTTTGTAATGTTCGGCTTGCTTTCTTTCCATTTTTTTCCTATTATACACATAGATTGTTCTGCATTTTCTGCCTAAATAATTCTTTAGCAGGATTGGAATTTTTGAGAGGTGGGTGAAACGGTGAGTTTTGGCAAACGTTAGGTCTTGGGTTCACTAAACCCAATGTACTGCGAACTGCTTTACTTCTCTGTTTCTGTCTCTATCTAATTTCCCATAAAGCCAAAGGAGCTAACAATGGTGGCAAGCCGGAAGCTACAAGATTAGATTGATTGAAGTTTCGTGAAGGACGATGTTTGAATTGTAGTCCTCTAGCGCCAAACGCCGTTAAAATAGATATCTATGTGCATTTTGCAGTATTATTGATGAGGTGACCGCAAAAAGAAAAGGAAAGAGAAAATGAGAAGAAAGTGCAGGATTTGGTGGCCAAAATTCTTGGCGTCAAGTGAACAAACTTCAACTCATTTATTGTTTGGTTGGTTTATTTCATGCTCTTCAGATTCCATTGATGTTGTAGTAGCTTTTGCTTGCAATGAGGCTTCTCTCCCCCGTTGCCGATCTGGTCTTCAGGTACTTGAATTGCCGTTTGTTTATTTATTTAAAAAGCGCGACCACTCGTAAATGCAAATGCTTTTATGTGGTCTTCGCCTTCAATTTTTATCTAGGTTTACTCATGGAAGTATCCATTTGATCTTATTATGCTGTATTTTTGTATTCTTCTTAGCACTTTCTAGTTTCTATTTTTGAGAGTTATTTTCTGGCTGTTGTTTATAGAACTCCTAATAGTTTATGATTGAGTTTGAAATGATTTTGTTCATAGATTTACTTGGCTCGGTGTGTTTTGGTATGGTTATGAACTCCTAAGTCAAGGTTAGGGAAAGGGAAACAAGACTCGATGAATATTAACCATTTTTGATGTGTTATTAGAACTTCTTGTTGCGTATTTATTGGGATTTGAATTGATGTATGAGAAAATTCAGATTTGGTGATTGCATATTATGGTTCTGATTATTTCTTTAAACAGGAAATCATCCATGACACAAATGGGAAAATGCCTGTATTTCTACAGGATAAATCATTGTTTTCCTTGCTAGGTCAGAGTTCTGGAAATTGCATCGGTAATAGAAAAGCACTGAAGTTTAAAATGGAAGAAGATAATTGGAGAGTGTCCTGTACCAACGGCATTTCTTCAGCAACCAACATGCAAGACACATTTGGGGAAAATTTTGGAGGAAGGAGCTGTGGTTGCAATCACTTTGAGGGATCAGTTGAACAAAATTGGGAAGGTTTGGCAAAAGGCAGCCTCTGGATCCAGCTGGTATATGATTCTCATGAACAATATGCTGGAGATGTTTATTGGCTTCCTAAATTGCATCACCTTCATTGGAATGGCCAAATTGTATCACTAATAGATGTCCACGTATGTAAGTCATGATTACCTATCTTTCATGATTCCATTTGAGTTTATATTTGTTAGTAGTATTTAACCTTATATTGTTTCTTGATGTTCTTGATTTTGACCAAATGTAGTTAATAGTTTATGAAACTCCCATATATGGCACGCACCATTTCTCACTGAATTCTTCAAATCCTTTTGAGGAAGTGAAAGCTCCTCTCAAGAAGCCCAAGTGGGTTGAAGAACTTGAAAAAAAGCTTCCTCTATCTGACTTGGTAATGTAGTTTCCTAAATTTTTTTTGTCCAATTGTCCTATGTGCCTATGTTTTTAACTTGCCTTTTTTTTTTTTTTTTTTTTCCAATTTTTTTTTGTCCCAATTGTCCTATGGTGCCTTATGTTTTTAACTTGCCTTTTTTTTTTTTTTTTTTTTCCCTTTTACATTTTATTCTACAGGATTTGCAGACAATTTTGGGCAATCAACAGTGCTGCTGCTTGCGAAAAATAATTATTTGAGAAACACATTGGACTCTAAGAGAATTTTTTTTTTTTTTTTTTTTCCCTTTTACATTTTATTCTACAGGATGCAGACATTTTGGCAATCAACAGTGCTGCTGCTGCGAAAATAGTTATTGAGAAACACATGGACTCTAAGAGAATGTGTGCTAGATTTTCTATCATCCACAGGTATTATTGGACAAACTTTGCTGTTTACCCTCATCTTTTATTTGCAATTTTTGACATCCTTTCTTTTGGTTTATCAGGTGTGTTGTTCTTATTTGGCATGTATTTGCCATTTCAGTGGCATGCTTTTCCACCCTGTTCTATTTCGCTCTTCAGTTGTTGCATGGACTTTCTAGTTTTGGGTCAAAAACACAAGTGTATGTTATATCAGCAAGGATATTCTGCACTACATGGACAAATATCAGAATCCACTTTTGTCAGATCATGTATTGGCCCATTTTTCTTCAAGACAATGGTCTTAGGTGACTGGAAAATTTGTTACTCATATTTTATGTTCCAAATTCCATGTTAACAAAGTCTACATTTTACTGGAATTGGGATATTTAGTGGATTGCTTAGTTGATAATCTTAATCACTTTACGTTGTGAAAGTAATTTATTCCTCATTATTTTTATTTTGTTACTTTTAAAATTTTATTTCAGGTTGCAATCTTGTGTGGAATATGCAGAGAAAACTGCATTACTTAGGCATTCTATGTGGTCGAGTTTAGTTGTTGATCTTCTCTTGGGAAACTTGATTGGATTTTCAATCTTATTGAATGCGGAACCTACTTGCTCATGGATTTCAACCTTTGCCAATGATGTTACAAATGAATTGCTGCGGTCAGGCTGCGTGTGGTTGATGGGAGTACCGGCAGGTTTCAAGTTGAACACAGAGCTGGCAGGAATTCTTGGCATGATTTCTCTTAATGCAATACAAATTTGGTCTACCCTCTGGACCTTTATTGGCTACTTTTTCATTTATTTCATCAAAGCACTTGCTCTATTAGGAATTCTTTTGGGAGCTACTGTTCCTGCTGCTTTGGTCATGGACACGATTTGCTTCTCAACTTTACATGTGTCAACTCTTCATTGTGCAATCTCACTCTTGTATTCACGACAGATTCAGGCATTAGCTGCTCTGTGGCGTCTTTTCAGGTAAACCTCAAACCAGATTTTCTCGCTTTGGAAGCAAGGATGTGGGCGGTTCTAGGGGAAGAGGGGGAGGGTGTGTATGTCTGTGTCTTAGGGGGTGTTGTTGGAGGAATGAAAGAGAATTATGCTACATCACTAAGCTGTAATGTGATCAGTTATTAGCTTGAGGTCCTTGCATTAGATAGTTAGTTGGTGTATCGTAGAAATCTGGGTTAACTTCTGGGTTGTGAGAGTCTTTATGATGTTTCGCATCTTAATCCTATTTCATGGTGTTCTAGCTGTTATCTACTTTTTTTTGTGCATGAAAAAAAGAATTTGGATCACCTATTTGTTTGCTGCTCAGAACAAACAGTGGTGCCTAATTTATCTGAATTTAATGTCACCTGTTGTGCTCATTAAGGACAGTGAAATTAAAAGGAAATGATTTCTGTGTAGATTGAAGGCCTGGTTACTTTTAAGGCCAGGGCCTTTTTTTTTTTGCTTGTGATATTTATGAACTTAATAAAAGAATGTCTTTGATAATTGTTCATGATGTTTGAGATTTTGAAGGATGGCCTTTGATTTTCTTATCAGACGAGAGATCATGGTGTTAATTAATGAAAGAAAAAGGATAAACTTATGATGTGTGTGGTGGTGATATTACATGATGAAGTCACTTGGTTGTCCTGTGTTCTTTGGAAGAGCAGACCAAGAGTGAAAAACTCTTTTTTGGGGTGTGTGTGAGTGCGCTTTTCCTTAGATGCTAGGTTTTGCATGATATAATCTGGAAAGTTTCATTTTAGATTATTGTTGTTGTATCATTTCTTTATTTAAAGTTGTTCACAGAGGTGGTTGAACTGTTGACAGGGGTCGAAAGTGGAATCCTCTTCGTCAGAGATTAGACAGCTATAACTACACTGTGAAGCAACACATTGTTGGATCCCTTCTGTTTACACCACTTTTACTTCTGTTGCCAACAACTTCTGTTTTCTATATTTTCTTCACCATTTTGAACACAGCCACCACCTTTATTTGTGTATTGATTGAAGTTACTATATCAATGATCCACGGTACACCTTATGCTAAAATTTTCCTTTGGTTGGTGAGCCGGAGAAGATTTCCATCTGGGATATGGTTTGAAATACAATCTTTTCGTAGTGGTTCTTCAGAGTCTGTATTTCTTGGTGAAGTTTGTTCATCATCTAAGTATTCAGAACAAGAGAAGGATACTTGCATGAAGAGATCTAGCCTTCTTGTTTCATTTCTTCACAGTAACTTCTTGAGCTTAGGTGAGGCCTTGTTTAATGTCTTTTAATGGCTTACAATTAGGCCTGGGGATTTTTTTTTTTTTTTTTTTTTTTTTTTTTTTTTTTTTATCTAAGTATTTTCAGAAACAAGAGAGGATACTTTGGCATGAAGAGATTCTAGCCTTTCTGTTTTCATTTTTCTTCACAAGTAACTTCTTGAGCTTAGGTGAGGCCCTTGTTTAATGTCTTTTAATGGCTACCAATTTAGGCCTGGGGATTTTTTTTTTTTTTTTTTTTTTTTTTTTTTTTTTTTTTTTTTTTTTTTTTTTTTTTATCTCGGTATGGGGAGAGGAGGAATAACCAAAGCCATATAAGTAAGTCTCAGGCTAAATTGGTAATTTAACCCTGCTGTCTAATGTTGGAACCAAGGTCTGAAAGAAGTCGGTAATATGTTTGAATGTTGGATACCTTTTTTTTCCTCTGAACATGACTTTTGCGCCGTGTGATTTGATAGAAGAACTGTCCAACATTCCTGGAGAATTAGAGAACTTATAAGAACTTATATGGGTTTATAAAAGAACTTTGGAATATTTTTATTGTTTTTCTCCCCATCTCCAATGTTTCTCTCCATCATAAGGACATTGAAAGCTAAAGCTATTGTGCACCCTGAGTGTTTCTTCAGCTTGCCTAACTGATAGGTCTGGTGAAATTCTTTTTATCTACCTGCTGATTTTTGTTGCAATAGCTTTGATTAATTTTATTAATATGCATCGCATTTGATTAGAAGTGTTGAAAACAAATAATGTAAAATGTGTAAAGTGAAAACTATGGATTAGAACTGTATCTGGTACCTTGTCCCTCAGTGTCCACTCTAATTTTGTTGTTTGTTGACTTGTGCCGAGTGTAACATGAAATACATTACAGGACAAGTAGTGTTGCCTCACTACAAGAAGATTTTCTCTGGGATTTCTGGTTTTGTCACTTCATCAGCTTATGGAGCTCTTACAGGTAAAAGGTGAGTGGTAATTTTGTTCATGCTTTTATCTGTTTTTGTGTGTTTGCTACAATTTCAGATTTACTAATCTTTCTTATATGCACATTGTACTATTATTAAGAAGATTTTCTCTGGGATTTCTGGTTTTGTCACTTCATCAGCTTATGGAGCTCTTTCAGGTAAAAGGTGAGTGGTAATTTTGTTCATGCTTTTATCTGTTTTTGTGTGTTTGCTATAATTTCAAATTTACTAATCTTTCTTATATGCACATTGTACTATTATTTTTCTCAGAACTGCATCAACTTTGGGGGCCAGCCTGCCTTCAATATTGCCATGGATGTTTATCCCTAGCAGAGAGTATTGGTGCCTCTGCTACAATTCAATTCTTGCATGCATGGCCGAACGTGACTGTTCGAAATGTCAATGATTTAATCCGGTAGAACTCATTGCTTCCTTTTTTATTGCATTGAAAAGTTTTGCAGAGATAATCCGAAATCTTTGTTTTGGCTGAAATTTGGTTTTCAAGCTGGAAGAAGTTATGACTTGTGTTGGCAGAATTGGAAATTTTGTGTAGGAAGGAAATTGCAATAGCAGGAGTTTGCACCCTTAAAAAATTTGTTGACCTAATTCGTTTGCATTATTATAAAACATGGTACAAAATATGAGTGAAGATTGTCTTTACCCTTTAATAGTTGCAAGTTGTTGATTGTTGGTGTGAATTTAGGCAAAACTTACCTACCCTGATATTCCACTAAGATTTATGAACTTCAAAATGGGTTTAACCCTGAGTGCATGCATGTATATAGAAATAGTGTACAAGTATCTTTTTGGCTAAATTTTAACTTTGCATTGCTAACTTTGATTTCCTATCTCTTACTATGTATTTAACCCTGTTCTCCTTAATTTTTTTTGTGATTATTTAATTTATGTTTAATTAAGCTATTATTACTGGGCCTAGCAGGTGGAATGGGTTCGAGTCAAATTTAGACTTGATTATGTTTGGATCTTGGTCTGGCCCAACTGTTAAGCTTACTTAAACGGGTCAACCATTGAAATGCATCACTCTCTATTTTTCTTTAAATTTGTCGGTGTTTGACTTTTCACGATAATTAAGAAAATGATTGATTCATCCTAATTTTAGAAAAAAAATAAAAAAATTTGATTAATTTGCCCCTCATAATTAGTGCTTATTTAATTGAAACAAAATATATTGTAAATGTCTAGATAAGGTAAAGTTGGAATAAAATAATGAATATTATTTTCTAAAAGTGTCGTATAAATGTAACAAAATAAAAAGTAAAAAAAATTAAAATTTAGTGGAATGGAGAGAATAGTAATTAGCAAAAGCATTACAATTCTTTCTTAATTAGCAAAAATTAAAATTGCCATCTTTAACTCTACTCATTCTTTTTACTATCTGATTAAGAGATGAGGACTCAATTGCATAGAGGCAGGCTTTGATTTTGTCTAGAAAATATAAATGTAAAATTGAAATGGGAAGTCTCTATAGAACAGTTTCATGTACTTTAGCCATGTTAATAAAATTAAGACACACAAACAAAACAAATACATAAATGTGTCCATTTGTGACGGAACAGAAACAAACAACCAACTTCATGAGAAGAAATTTAACTCATGACCTCAGTAGAATATATGGCCCACCTAACACTTGTAAGATAACAAAAACAAAGAGATACATAAAATTAGCAACAATACAAAAATAAAACAGGTCACGGGAACTCGAATATATGGTTTTGAGAGACTAATACAAGAAAATTCCGAAAAAATACAATAATAATAATAATATAGGAAAATTATTATTTCATCCATGAGGTTTGCTATAATTATTTAAGTAGTCCTTGACATTTATACATATATTTATAACGTCATTGAGATTTGCCACTGTCATATTAATTTATCATTCCGTCAAAAAAATATATTTTTTCCGTTAATTTTGAGAGGAAAAGACGAAATTATCCTTTAGAAAAATAAGTGGAGCCTATAAAATGTGAGAAAAATATGAAAGTAAAACTAGTTTCTCAAGCTTGATTCATTAATAGCCCGTTTGGAACAAATGACTTTCACAAAATTTTATGGAATTCATTTAGAGGCTTTGATTCATTTAATAGGCCCCGTTTGGAACAAATGGACTTTCACAAAATTTTTATGGCAATTCCATTTAGAAATCTAAAGTTTTATTTGGAATGAAACAAAAATTACAAGATTTGAGTTCTACGAATAGGATTTGCCATGTCATATTTAATTATTCATTCCGGTTCAAGAAAAAATAGATTTTTTTCCGTTAATTTTGAGAGGAAAAGACCGAAATTTATCCCTTTGGAAAAATAAGTGGAGCCTATAAAAATGTGGAGAAATATGTAAAGTAAAAACTTAGTTTCTTCAAGCGATTCTATTAATAGGGCCCGTTTGGAACCCCAAAATGACTTTTCACAAATTTATGGAATTCATTTAGAAATCTTAACAAAGTTTTATTTGAAAATGAACAAAAAATACAGATTTGAGTTCGAAAAATAAGTGGAGCCTATAAAATGTGAGAAAAATATGAAAGTAAAACTAGTTTCTCAAGCTTGATTCATTAATAGCCCGTTTGGAACAAATGACTTTCACAAAATTTTATGGAATTCATTTAGAAATCTAAAGTTTTATTTGAAATGAACAAAAATACAGATTTGAGTTCTACGAATTGAATTATATAGGGATAATGTGGGCTCTGAAATCCATGTGGATATAATCGACTTAGCCAATGGGTATTTTATGGTTAGGTTTACAAATCAAGCGCAATATGAGCACGTCTTATATGGAGGGCCATGGATGGTGGCTGACCACTACCTTATTGTTCGGCAATGGCAACCTAACTTTGATCTTGAACATGCTCGAATTGAAAAGGCAATGGTCTGGGTGCACATATCGAATTTGCCTATCAAATATTATGCAAAGAGTTTCTTGCTGTAGTTGGGTTGTCGATAGGGACTCTAATCAGGGTTGATGACACTACATTGGAAGCTTCAAAAGGGAAATACGCTAGGATTTGTGTCGAGATTGACTTTGATAAGCCTCTCCTCTCTAAATTTTGTCTACGTAGAAGGATATGTCAGATAGCGTATGAGGGTATCCACTTGATTTGCTTTGAGTGTGGTCGCTATGGCCACAAGAGGGAGGACTGCATGCTCAATGCCACTAAGGTCTCAACAGGATCAGCAGCTACAAATGATGCTCCAGTGTCGCCTAATGTTACTGAGGGTAGTGGAGGAGTTTCCAATGGTGATAATGAGAATACAACCACGGATGGTCGATTATTGAAATTAGGAGATTCGGTCCTGTCGGAGGTGGTGGACTCGTTCGACCCCTGGATGCTAGCTAAGAAAATGGCGAGAAGAGGGGCTAGGATTCTAGGATCTTTGAATAAAAAAGAAGCACAATCTCAGGAGAGGATTATGGGGGATAGAGGAAGTCCGGAGGTCAAGATTCTACTTCTCACAATAACTCTCGATTTTCTGCATTATATGCTGATATTGTCGAGGAAATAGTCTATTAAGAGGATACCTCTGTTGAACCTATTCCTGTTTACTAGCCCTCTAGGCTCGCTTCTCTTAAGAATCAACCAAAGTCCCAACTAAAGCCCACTCAAAAGACTAATCCGAAAGCCCAACAAAGTCTCTTCGTCCATCTAGGCCTTCCCTAATCATGACTTCATCTCAGGTTCACATTAAAAAGAACTCCCTTTAATCCAATCTTAAACCCCTTATGGATCAGTCCACATCTCACCCCAAGCCCATCAACTATCTTTGTAATACTCAGAAGTCCCCTTTGGCAAATCGGACGAAATTAGTGCTTCCTATTATTGTGTCCCCTTCTCAGAGCAACTTTATTCCCTGTAGATAGCTGCATGATAATGTTGTTGTCTTTCAGGAGGTGATCCATTCTATGTGACGACGTACGGGTCAGCTGGGTTGGATGGTACATAAGATTGATCTTGAAAAAGCCTACGATCGCCTTCGATAGGATTTCATCCTGGGGCATTGGTGGGTTTCCCAGAGGTTTGGGGTTAGTTGCTTTCGATGCCTAAATGCAAATAATATGAGGATTTTATGGGATGGTTGCATTTTTGAGGGGTTCAAGCCTACGAGGGGGATTCGATAGGGGGATCCTATATCTCCTTATCTCTTTGTAATCGCTATGGAACGGTTGGCTCATGGTATTTCTGAAGCTATTGAAAATAGGAGTTGGCATCCTATTTCCATCTCGAGGCGTGGTCTAACCCTCTCACATCTCTTTTTTGCTAACGATCTGTTACTTTTTGTAAAGGCCTCGGTTAGCCAAATGATGGTAATCATAGAGTGTTTGGATAGTTTCTGTTCATCATCTGGCCAACATGTTAATGCCTCCAAGTCCATTATTCTGTTTTCTCCAAATGTTGCTGTAGAGGTTCAGCAAGGGATTTGTGTGGTTTCGGGTATGATAACTGTAGATCAGATTTCTTCGTATTTGGGGGTTCAGTTTGTAATGGGAGAATCAGTAAATCTATGTATGAAGGTTTATTCAACATGCTGGATTCGCACTTAGCTAGTTGGAAAATTCCTTTGTTGTTCTTTGCAGGTCGTATCACTCTGGCGAAATCGATTCTTACTGCCCTTCCGAATCATGTTATGCAAACTACCTAGTTGCCTTGTGCTGTTTGTGATGAGTTTGATAAAAAGGTTCAGAATTTCATTTGGGGGGACTGTAATGGAAGGAAGCATGTTCATCTCATTAGTTAGAATCGTGTTTGCCTTCCTGCTGATAGAGGGGGTTTAGGAGTGCGCTCTTGTTGGGAAATGAATGATTGTTTCTTGGTGAAGCTTGGTTGGCGCTTTCTCAAAGGGGATAGAGCTTTATGGATTGACATTGGTCTGGGTGTGCTCATCGATCGGTCCAATGCTTCCATAATTTGGAGGGGCATGGTGAAATCTTCTTACCTTCTACGTCGAGGTATTTTTTCTAATGTTTGTAATGGCATGCTTACTGATTTGGGGTGATGTTTGGATTAGACACTGCCCTTTGCGAGACTTGTTGTTAGTGCCTCTCCCCTTGGAGTTAGAGAATCAGCCTATGGCTTTTTTCTAGGATAATGGATGGCATTGGGAGCTATTCCAGCAATGGCTGTCGGAGGAAATCTGTTTAAAAATGGAAGTTGTCTCTCTTATTACTGATTTTGAGGCCATGGACTTGTTGGCATGGAGGTTCACCTCTATCTGAAGCTTTCTACGAAGTCTGCTTATTTGCTAGCTAAAGGGGTGTTTGATGCTCCTCCAGCCACTTTGTGGAAGAAGCTGTGGAATGTTAAGGTCCCTCAACGGGTTCACTGCTTTGCTTGGCTTTTGCAGCATGGGAAGCTCATGACCAATAAAGAACGTGGTAGAAGAGGGTTTACTCAAAATAGCAGCTATAGTTATTGTGGGGAGCCGGTTGAGTCTTTAGAACATGTGTTTCGGGATTGTAGCTATGTGCTTGAGGTGTGGACTGAGGTTTTGGACCAGAGTTCATTGAACCTTTTTCGTACTTGGAATTTTGCGGATTGGTTTCATTATAGTCACTAAATTGTGCTTGGGCTTATAACCTCTCCTCTTTGCAGTTCTTTTATATTGTGCTCTGGTGTTTGTGGTGTTGGAGAAATGAGCATATTTTAAGGGCTCGGGTCTATAATCTTGAAGCTAGATGCCATATGCTGAGATACCATTTGCACAACGATGCAAGGGTCTGGACCTCATTTTTATCCCAGGATCAAGGGAGGGGCAAAAGAGTGCTTCTGGTCTCGTGGTCTGCTCCGCAGGGTGGCTGGATCAAGCTCAACTCCGATGGTGCTT